TGTAGGCTCTCTATTCACCTTACAGGTTGTTTATTTTGCTGAGAGAAACTTTAGTTTGAGTCCATCCCATTTATTGATTCTTGATTTTAATTCTTATGCTATAGGAGTCTTATTAAGGAGGTTGGGGCCTAATCCCACATGATGGAGTTAGGGCTTACTTTTTCCTTCTATTAGGTGCAGAGTCTCTGGTTTAATTACTAGGTCCTTGAGTTTTGTGCATGGTGAGAGCTGGGGGTTTAAGTGTTGGAGAGGATGTGGGGAAAAAAGTACACTCATACACTGCTGGTATAACTGCAAATTGGTGCAGCCAAAATGGAAAGCAGTATGGAGATTTCTTGGAAAACTGGGAATGGAACCACCATTTGACCCAGCTATCTTTTTCCTTGGTCTATACCCAGAGGACTTAAAAACAGCATACTACAGGGACACAGCCACATCAATGTTTATAGCAGCACAATTCACAATAGCTAAACTGTGGAACCAAACTAGATGCCCATCAGTGGATGAATGGATAAAAAAAATGTGCATATGTACACAATGGAAAAATACTCAGCAATAAAAGAGAATAAAATCATGGCATTTGTGGGTAAATGGATGGAGTTGGAGAAGATAATACTAAGTGAAGTTAGCCAATCCCCAAAAAACCAAATGCCAAATGTTTTCTCTCATATAAGGTGACTGACTCATAGTGGGGTAGGGAGAGGGGAGCATGGGAGGAATAGACAAACACTAGATAGGGCAGAAGGGTGGGAGGGGAAGAGAGGGGACAAAGGGTTAGCAATGATGGTGGAAGGAGATGGATATCATTATCCAAAGTACATGTATGAAGACACAAGTTGGTATGAACATACTTTTTATACAGAGATATGAAAAATTGTGCTCTATATGTGTAATAAGAATTGTAATGCATTCTGATGTCATGTATTAAAAAACAAAATCAATTAAAGAAAAAAACATGGAATATATCTTAATCTTAGCTTGTATATTATACATAAGTGTCCCTTTTGTAGTCTATTTAGCACCTATTTTTTTTCTTTTTATCCTTTTATTGGTCCAGTTTACTACTTAAAATGGCTCCCAGGTATTCTGCAGAAGAACTGGCTTGTGTCTCCAAAAACAAGGAAATTATAATATTCCCCCACCTGTGTTAGACAAGCCCATTCAGATGGGAGATATAGTGCCCTGGCCCTCAACTCAACGTTAATGAATTGAGCTGGAACATTAAGCTGGAAGTCTTTTAAGACAAACAAGCGTAACACAAACTCTTGTATTGGTCAGTTGACAAATGTGACCAGAGGTTCACACATAATTGTAAAGTGAATTTTCCAACTCAAAGAAATGATAAATATTTCACCTCGCCCTGAATTTCCTACTAGAGCAGTGATTCAGAATTCACTAATTCACTTTTAGTTTGAGGTAGGTAATGCTGTAAAATCACAACGACAATCAACTAATCATCTGTATTTATCTCTCTGTAATCTTGCTCTCCTTAATTGCTTAAAGGCTTAAATGCTCAGGTGTTTTTAAAATGTCGTCCTTTTCTAAGGACATACATTCTCAATGGATGTAGTATTGCTGCCTAGGGACAAAAAGTGGAGGAAAAACACTTTAGTACCCTTTTTTATGCATAAAGCAAGTGCACACACACTCTCTCTCTCTCTCTCACACACACACACACACAGATATACAGTATATCAGTGGTGTCACAAGTTCACATGGGTAATTAGAAAAAAAAAGTCTTAAAGTTTTGAGGGCAATAATGAAAAAGAGATTCAGACGCTCTGTCGTGGTGCATAGTGAATATTTAATAAGATGAAGCATCTGGAGTATTTATTAGAGTACAAAATACAGCATGTGCACTCAATGTTAACTACATGAATAACATTAATAATATTATTTCCTCAATTCTATCCCCTTCCTTCATACACCAGCTTTTCTTAAACTGGAATTTTTGGCCCCCTGAGGCATGACCCACACATGTTCTCAGGCATGACTGAGAATTTCCTCTGAAATTTGTTGTCTTGTATTGCATTTTTAAATTGATGATAATTGCAAAATGAATATTCCTAGCACAAAGAAATGATGAATGTTTAGGGTGATGGTTATACTGGTCATCCTGACCCAGTCGTTACACATCATACACATGAGTTCAAATATCAGACTAACGCACAAAGATGTTTAGTTATCATGTATCAATTAAGAATCATAAAAGGTAATAATTGTGTACCCATTTGCCTTTATAATGGAGCCCTGCCACAAGATTCTATGGTCCAAGTTTCCCATCTTCTTGTGGACTGATGAGGAAGAAAGGAGTAGACTTTGAAATGTGATGGTACTGTCAGCCTAAATGAAGGGCCACTGAGGTGTCGTCTGTCATGGGAGAGAGCGCCTGCTGGGTAGCACAGGCATGCTCAAGTCAAGAAACCTGGGCTTTAGCATCCAGTATTGTGTTTGAGTTTTGAAAAGCAAGTTTTCCTCAGCAAAATAACATCATCTCTCATGTGAAACCAGTGCTATTAATTTGAGTGTTATGGGTTGTATTGTTTGTCCTTAATTCATCATTTTGTTTTGGTTTTCTGTTGAATCACAACTAGAGCATATGGAGTTTATTTCTAGCATTCCATTTGTGCATAACTAAGCAATAATATAATTGAAATAATTTAAGTACATGTATGGGTGGTGTGCACTACTGTTTTCTGCCCTATTAAAGGGAGTGTTTGCATTGCTCGGCCTTGAAGAATAATGCAATGGACTCATAGAAGTACAGAATATTGGAGCCATCAGGAATTATTTAGTGCAGCCACCTCCCCTACCAGATGTGGACACTGAGCCTCCAGGGGAGAAATGAAGGCTCAAGGTCAAAAAGCAAAGGAGAGGCAGACTGAGGTCAGAGACCAGGTGGATGTACTTCTAATTGGGTACCAGCCCCCCACCTCATGTCAGCCGCCTCCAAAGGTGAACCATGGAAAATAAATGGCAACTCTGCCAGGCTTACAGAGGAAGGCTGGGCACAAACTAAGGAAAGTAAATAATGGATTTGTTTCAGAGCCACAAATCTCAATGTGTCAAGAGAGGAAACGGCAGCCAGTTCTCTTCCCTGCTCAGGTGAAATTACACATGAGGTCAGATTGTTCCATAACTTTCAACAGAACAAAACAATTCTGAAGATTTTTAAGTCTAAGCCCAGATGTACTTCTCTACTCTGAATTTAGGCTCTGAGCTCACTCCACCTCGCTAGGGTTGTATACTATCTTACTCTGTTTGGGCTGCTGTAACAAAATGCCATAGACTGAGTGGCTTAAGTTTTGGATGCTGCAAAATCAAGATCAAGGAGGCAGTAGATTCCTTGTTTTCTGAGGTTCATTTACGGTTTTCTTCTTGTTTCTTCACGTGACAGGTGAGGCACCAATCCTACCTGTGAGGGCTCCACTCTCATGACCTAATTTCCTCCCTAAGGCTCCACCTCCTGATACCTTTTCAGTACATGGATTTCTAGGGACATAACCATTCTGTGCATTGGGTGCACGCACCACTGGGCAGAGAAGACCATTAGGAAATAGTGTTTCTCAGCTGCATATGGGAGTTCTGATCAATACTTGTGGTTTGAGGAGTTCAACTGAGATACAGTTACTAGGATGCAGCATTAGTTTCCTATTGCTGCATAACTTGGGGTACATTGTTATCCCAGCATTTCTTTGGGTCAGAATTCTGGGCATGGATCCACTGGGTGTTTCCTGCAGGGCTCACAGAGTTGGAACAAGGATTAGGTGAGGGCCGTTCTCTCATCTGACCTTTGGAATCCTCTTCCCAGCTTACATGGTTGTTGGCAGAATTCATTTCCTTGTGGTAGTGGAACTCATTGTATTTGAGCTTCAAGGCCAGCAGGAGGGATCTCTCTCTAGATCCCCTTAAAGCATCCATCTAGTTCATCTAATCTCATTAGATTAATTAAGTCAGCTCTTTAGGGGATTTAATTACATCTGCAAAATCTTTTCAACTTTGCTATATTGTATTGTATTGGTTAAAGGTCAGTTAGTTACAGGTTATACCCACACTCAAGGAGGAGAAGATGATACAAGAACATGGGTGTCCGGAGATCATCTTTGAGTCTGCACAGCACAGGCATTAGGTACTTTCCTTACTGGACAATGAAGGGTGGTTCCTATTTACAGACTTTCATGTGACATTTAGAGCACATTTATCAATAGTAACATGTATGATTATGTTAAAGCTTAGAGGAGCAGAAACTCACCGCTGAGCTTAGGCAAGATTATTATCTCACCCTCAGCACTACAGGCATTTATGCTGAGCAATTCTTTCTCCAGGGTGCTGTCCTGTGCATTCTAAGTCATTCAGCAGCACATCTGGATACTGCCCTTCAGATGAGGTAGCACCTCTACCCCATTAATGACAACCAAATATGATGCCAGAAATGTCAAGTGTCTCCATGCCCAGAAAAATCATTCCCAGGTGAGAATTACTGTGTTAGGAAAATGAAGTGGTCTTGGTGGTTTTTAAAGAAGGAACTATTAAAACGGAATTTGTTTTTTAAGGTGATACAGCTCTATGGAGCCAGCAGGCTCTTGCTCCTCCCATAATGCCTGATTCTTAGATTTGCTTATTTCCTTTACTGAGAAATGCATAGTTTATAGTTGCAAATAAAAAAAAAATAATTCAGGAGATGTGTTTCCCACATGTACTTTCTTACTCACGTGTATGCCAAAACAAGGTTACGTTATCATATTTGACTATGTTTTATAATCTTGTCTGAGTTTATAGTCAAGTCATATTATAGGAGAGCTTTGGTTCTGCTGTAACATGGGTCAGATATTTCTCCAAAGATTTTTTTAACATATCAGGCAAAAAGCTTAATAAAATCCATTCTTGGTTTCACAGCTCCTTTCTTAGAAATGAGGGACATGGCTTGATGTGGGGCTGTTGGAAGGCACGATCCAGGTCTGAAATTACAAAACTCAAAATCTCAATCCTGTTTTCTCTAGGCAAAGGCAGCTCAAGCATCTCATCCGACGTGAGTTCAAGTACAGATCACACGCCGACCAAAGCCCAGAAGAATGTGGCTACCAGTGAAGGTAGGCATCTGGTCTTCATTATCCCGCGCCTTCCCTTTACAAGGCTGGCTATTTTTGGAAGACAAAGAAAATGTGGGAGATTTGTTCTCTTCTGCTGAGTGGGAGCATATGAGGTTATTAAAAAGGAGAGGCAAAGGCTCTCCCAAGTTTCTTTTTGGTTGCACTGTTGTTACTGCCAATCAAATTTGATGGGATAGGATTTCAGTGTCTCAGTTCTAAGGCAAATTCTGTAATTTTGTGAAACTCTAGCAGGTTGACTTAAGGGAAGATTTTATGATATTACATACCTGTTTTTCAGTATGGAAAACAATAGGCTTATAGAACCCTTGCACTACAGTTGGAAGCTCCTGCAAGAACTTGTAACATCGATGCATCTGTAATTTAGGATGCTATAATTGGAAGATCATGGTCACGTAATTTGTAGAACTTGAATCAATCACCAACCTTTGGGAGTAGCAAAGGAGGTTTTTTTGATTGTTTGAAGAATAAGTGAAATGTTGTGCCAGTCAGGACAAAGATTGGTCCTATTGGTATTCTTGAGAATGAATTTGACTTCTTTGCTTGTAGAAGTACATGTGGGAATGGCACTGTTCCCAGTAGTGAAAAGGGTTAGGGTTACACTTGATTGAGAAATCGTTTCTATGGCAGTTTTTAAAGGGAAGGTTTACCCAGTGATAGATTCAGTTTCTTGCATTTTAATGTTAAACCCAACTGAATGACTTCTTTTCTGAAGAAGAGCTCTTTCTGAGCATAATCGCCCAGTGGTCCCAGGTCAACAGCAGTGCTTGACACTGATAGACTGAAATATCAGCTGATGAACTGACATCCAGTAGCACCTGCTTTTCTGAAGTGCAGAGGATGTCACTGGGGCACATTTCCAGCTTCTCTTTCTGAGGTTCATTTCTGCTGCTTGACAGCTGGAGCGTGTGCTTGCAGGCTGGTGTTGGCCTAGGGAGTTCTGTGAATCCTCTTGATCTGTGTGAAAATCTATGAATTCATGATGATGATTCACCTCTGTTGGCGTGTGTCTGCTCTTTGCATATTTTTGGACATGGTGCGTTTCAGATACCACAGAACTACCTTCTTGGTTATTACTTATCCCCAGACCAATGCATAGGTTGTTTTTGCAAGTGGATTCTTTTCTCCTGTGTTTCAAACCTTAGCATTGTTGAATGGACATCACCAACCATTGTGAGGCGGAGAAACCGGAGAACTCCTCAGTGCCGAGAAACCACAGGAAGCAATCCAATCTTAATCATCGGCCTCTGAGTTCAAATATGGGCATTAGGTTGTTCTTGAAATTGAGTCAGGGTCATGTGCAAATCTGCCTATTTGATTCTAGACTTTTACTTGTGTTAGTTCCATTCTTAGGACCCACAGTAGAAATCACTTCAGTCTCATTCACAGGGATCCTCTGTCATCAGAAACGTGTTCCATGAGATGATCATGTCTTCCTACCATTGTTATACAGAGTCTTGTTTCGATGATTTCTCTGAGTGACCATGAAAACAGAAAGTTGAACATTTAAATAATCTCTGTGTTTGTCTGATTTAAAGTTTTCATATCACTTTTTTTTGTCCTTTCCAAAAATAGAAAATATATAACTTTATGAGCTTTGTTACAGAATTGGGGACAGGCACTGTGGGACTTCTGCATTTAAAATGTCTGCTTTTTATGGTTTTTGTTTGTTTGTTTGTTTGTTTTTTAAAATGCCAGCTCTATAAAGACTTTAAGTTTTCAGTTTTGTCTTTCTCTTAGGAAGAGGTACAGGCTCAACTATTGTTTAATACATTTTGTGACATGTATTTATTTTTTGTCATTCTGAGGGTAGACTTGGGAGGAAAAAAAACAGGAAACTATGATGTTCCTATGAAAACCAATTTTTTTCCAAGTGCACTAAATTAATACAGAACTTCTTTCTAGATTTTAAGGGGAAGAGACTCATCCATGTAAAAGATGCTGTACATTTCCTTATATCCTGAAAAATTAAAGAAGTATTGACTTTTGCTCTTTGTGTGTGTGAATCCATTTTTCTATAAAATTTCAATTAATGAACACTTATAATATTAAAAAATAAACTCAATTGTGAGCATTAGTTAATGAAAATGTGTTTGAAGGGTGTTTCGTGCATATCTTGTCTCATGTTAGGCTCTTTTCAGGACAAAGCCAGAGCAGTCAGTCTTTGATCCTCCTCTCAGGATAGGTGGTGCTGACAGCCCATTCACAGACCCCCACCGGGCAGATTCACCTGATGGTGTGTGTTACTTCATGCTGCAAAACAGCCAGCTAACCTCTGAATGCAAGACTGGCAAACACTATCTTCTCACACAGACTGCAGAAGAGCATTTTAGAAAGTGCACCTCTGATTGTCTTTCCACTGTTTTTGAGAACAATGTTTATAATCTTTCACATTAAGAAAATGCTGGGTGAGCATGTAACTGGTTTTCTGGAAGCTGTTGGATTATGGTGATTTTCTTCAGTTCCTTGATCCTCGCCTGTATTTTCACCTCTGAATTCATCTGTATTGTTTTAAAGGTCTGCGTGAAGTTGGTTTCTAAAAGTGATATGTATAGTGAATAACATTTCATCTTCCTGCAGCCTTTGAAAACCAGGGCCATGCCTACAATACCTGGGTTGGAAGCACCATTAGTAGTGCTGAGCTTTGCCCAGATGGGAAGGATAGATAGGGAAGATACTATATTGGTTCTCTGGTTGTTGTTGTTGTTGTTGTTATTGGTGGTGGTGGTAGTGGTGGTGTGTGTGTGTGTGTGTGTGTGTATGGGTGGGTGTGCACACTAGAATCTGCACTCTACTGTGTAGGTAAAGGTACAGGTAATTTCCCTTACCAGGAAACATGTAGGCACCACTGTATTCAATGTGTACTGAAAAGTGAAGTGAGGATATGGGGTAGAGGGATGGGAAGGGCACACACATAACATGTGCTTAACCTGGCTTGGGGGTGTGAATGGAGATTAACTGCAGGTGGACATCAGCCATATTTCTGTGGTGAGGACAATGCTCTAAAATTGGATAGTGGTAATAGTTATACCACTAGGAACATTTACTACAACCATTGAATTGTACATATAAAAAGGGCTGTTGGAGGACCTGTCACTCACTCTGCCTGATCTTCAGACTTGTATCTAAATCATCACAAACTTGTCTTAAAAAATGCCCTCTCAGCTCTGGGAGATGATGACAAGTGGCTGGAAGACCAATCAGGACTGAGGCTTGGCCAGTGCTGTCAGCCCCAAATCTGCTCCTGAGTCACCCTGTCCACCGGGCCAAAACTAGCCTGAGAGCAGTCACAAGTGAGTTCCTGCACTGGCATTCCCAGCCAGCACGGAGCTGATTCATCAGAGTATGTTCTCCCATAAAGTTTTGGAAGTCACGAGACATTAGAGACACTCAGGGTTCCCACACATATTTTTCTTGGCCTTTTCTAGATACTCTCTATTCTGTGCTCAGATTTTGTGTTCTATCCCCATCCGAATGGTAGAAGCCCCCTGTTAGTGATTCTAGCAAGTCAGTTTCTTGATAACGACTTAGGTTCCTCCTGTCTATCCAGTGTTCCAGCAAATTCACCCTGGGTCATAGGCTGTTCTTCTATAGGCAGTGGGCATAGATGGTAATAAGACTGGATTTTAATCCATGAGAAAAGACCTACTGAAAAGGTTCCGTTCCAAAGTCTCATGCAAAACTTTTGTGCATCTTACTTTTGTGACTCTAAAAACCACACTCCTTTTAAGGAATTGGCAGCCAGCAAGAGCTTACTCCCTGATAAGTGGTATATGCTTTCTTTACAATCCATTATATTCCTTGTGACAGTTTAAGTTTCTGATTTCCTGACACTGTAGGGGGTTTGGGTTCAAGTGTAGAAAGCTGGAAATTTTCCATTTTTCCCAACGTAATCTGCGTTCCAGCGTTGTAAGGCAGTTTAATTCTTTCCAGTTGTGTTGCTATTCTTTCTCTGACTTTTTTTTTTCTTCAGTCTTTCTCTTTGGGAAATAATGGCCTTTGACCTTCAGCAGTGAAAGTCACAACCAGCCCCTGGTTGGGGTGGAGCTCACAGCAGCCTGCCTTGAGCAGAATCAGTTGGATTGGATTTAGATCCTGCTGAAGCTGAGAGATAGCCAGCTGAGCTTCAGCTTCTTTCATAGAACAGAGGGGTCTGAGGATATGACTTTAAGGGTGGCATCTCAAAAGCTCAGTCTTCTCTGGATCTGGAGGAAAGTGAAGCAGTTAATCCAAAGGTCAAATCCAAAGGTCAAACTGGCTGAGAAGAGTGTTTCCTTCAGCTGCTCTGCGAGCATACTCATGTTCAGATCCTGGAATCATTGGCCCCACAAGATATGTGTGCAACTGCTGCTTTCTAAATGTCATTATCAAGCCAGACAGCTATGGAGTCTCGAGACTTTCAGAACTGCAAATGGTCTTGCCAATGTTCTGATCTGATACGCCTATTTTACAAAGAAATGCCTGTGTCACAGAGAAATGGAGAGATTTGCTCAAGATTGCACACCTAAAATATCATTGAGCAGGAGTTTGATGTGGTGGTGTTGAGGGTTGATTCAATTAGGACAAGCTTTTGTTTCCTGTACATGAAGGTGTTGAATTCTCTTAATTTGTCCTCTTAATTTCTAGCTGTCTCTTTTGAGCTGGCTGCAGGGTTGAGGCTGACCAGGTGGAAACGTTTGAGAAAGGTTGAACCCGTATAGATCAGTACTGCTGGTAGAAAGAAAGGGTCTGCTTCAGAAGATAAGAGGGTCTCAATCTGCTTAAGTGCATTAGCTAGCTACCTGGAGAAGGAAACACCACCTCCATGCCCACTACCCATTTACAAACAGGCCTTCAATGATTCGCTTAATTTCATCTATAGTTGCCTGTTTAATTCCTATAAAGGTCATTTTAAGCTTTCATCAGAAGAGAATTGATTTATAAAGAATGTGTAGTGACAGTTCTTTCCCTGGAACTTAAAATCACCAGTTTATTTATATAGT